GACATAATATAGACCAGATTTGATCATTGTTACAAGGTGATTACTCAGATTTTTTTTTTTTTGACAGGCAGAGTGGACAGTGAGAGAGAGAAAGACAGAGAGAAAGGTCTTCCTTTTGCCGTTGGTTCACCCTCCAATGGCCGCCGTGGCTGGCGTGCTGTGGCCAGCGCACCGCACTGATCCGATGGCAGGAGCCAGGTGCTTCTCCTGGTCTCCCATGGGATGCAGGGCCCAAGTACTTGGGCCATCCTCCACTGTACTCCTGGGCCACAGCAGAGAGCTGGCCTGGAAGAGGGGCAACCGGGACAGAATCCGGCACCCCCACTGGGACTAGAACCCGGTGTGCCGGCGCCGCAAGGCGGAGGATTAGCCTAGTGAGCCACGGTGCCGGCCTACTCAGATGTTTTAGAATAAACATATATTTAAACAAATCAAAACTCTTAATAAAAAACTCAGTTGTAAAACAATTAGAGCCTAACAGAGATATTAAGAGAGCACAATACATTACTTCAACAGAACACAAAATCTGTGTCTCTTTGGTCATTCCAAAAATCAGAAATAAAACGTTAAACTTAAGAGCCAGTGCATGGGATCATATCCCATAACTTGGAAGAGTTTTAATAGAGTCAGAACTAGGGAAGAGAGAATAGCTTACTGGAGCTGGCTTGAAAACTGAGAGTCACCAGTTAAACAAAACTATTAAAAGGAGATGCTGCAGGTTCTAAACAGATTTTTAAGACAATTTCAAAATATAAAAACCTCCTTGCTTTAACAGAAGATCAGATTCTAGTTCCATGTCAAATAATAGCTTTTGCTTTCCACCTGCTGATTTCCATTTTGAAATAACCCTTTAGAAATCTCCAAATTAAGACAACCTTTTCTAAATAAGATAACACATTGTATTTTTTTTGACAGGCAGAGTTAGACAGTGAGAGAGAGAGACACAGAGAAATTTCGGTCTTCCTTCCTTTGGTTTACCCCTCAAATGGCTGCTACGGCCATTGGTGCTTCCTCCTGGTCTCCCATGCGGGTGCAGTGCCCAAGGACTTGGGCCATCATCTGCTGCCTTCCCGGGCCACAGTAGAGAGCTAGACTGGAAGAGGAGCAGCTGGGACTAGAATCTGGCACCCATATGGGATGCTGGTGCCGCAGGCAGAGGATTAGCCTAGTGAGCTGTAGCACTGGCCAACACATTGTATTTTAACCTTAGTTACTTTCAAGCAGTGTTGAACTATTTTCATAGAGAATTTATGAAAACATGTTAGCAAACTCAAGTAGTTTTTCCCACAGAACATAAGTTGCTAAGAGTACCAAAGTTTACCTTTAGACATATTTATCTCATTTGCTTTACCCAATTTATATTTAGTAATTACACTTGAATGACTGAAAATGCTAATATTATACCATTCCTCTATCTGAATTATGGTCAAAATTACATTCACATGGAATTCTATTCCTTTTATAAAACTCTAGCTATAAATCAGTTACATTAAACCAGAGACTGCAAAATCCACCTAAGGGTCTATATTGAGTACTGATTACCCATTGCTATTTCATTGGAACCTTGTTAAACCAAATTGCAAAACAAGATGGGCAAGTTACAAAGCAACTTTTTTTTAAAAGGCAGTGATCTTGCTAGATTCAAAGAGAAATTCTTGTAAACCCAATGTCCAGTTAGAGTTGAACCAAATTCTAATACATGAGATTGTTTATTTTTTAGATTCCAATTGGATTTGAGTCTACTTTTCTTTTTACCCAAGAAAGACCTTAGGCCAGTGATGTCCTGGTCAACAGTCAGCCACTCGGGACTGCCTCTGAAACAAAAGTTCAGGCAGCTGCCAGACAGGTCCCAAGGTGACTGTGGGCTGGGGCCGATGTGCCAGGGACAAGAAGTCCACTGGAGACTGTTCATTGTGTTAGGCTTAATGGGGCAGAATATCTATGAGAGTGGATGGACACCCCTCCAGAGATTCCTAAGGAGGAAATCTGATAGGTGACAGAGCAAGGGGCAGTTAGGGAAAAGGAGATATGTCTGGAAATAGTAATTAACCTGGTGAGCTGGCTGGTTTGCAGGGCCAGTAGTGTTGATCTTTATTTCATGTGGGTTGGGAGAGGAGAGATACATCTAGGAAATGCTCACTCCTGGGACCAGGAAATAGAGTTGTAGGAATTGAGGAGACCTGGCGAGGTCAGCTTGAAATTAAAAACCCATCAAAAGACCTGATCATCCTGTCTGACTTGTTCAAGATAAAACAAAAGAGCTATCAAAAGGGTGGGATAGGTGACAGGAGAACTCAGGAGGTTGGAATCACCACTGCCTTGCTATTCTTATGGTAAAATTGGAACAGGAGCGGGAGGGGTGAAGCCCCGTTGGAGAATGAGAGCTGGAGGGTGATGGCATGGAGACAAGCCCACTCCCAAACTTGCCTTTGCTTTTCTGGGAGTAGGGTGTTAGGGAGGATAATAGATTAGGCAGGGGGAGTAGACTTTGGACAAGGGCTAGTTCTGTGATAGGTGGGAATTCCTGGACAGGAGGGGGAGGTACAATTGAGACTGCAAGAGCCGGAGCAGCAAATGTAAAAGAAAGGGGTTTTGGCTTTTTAGCGAGCTTTGGAAGTTCAGAGAACTTGAGCCAGAGGAGGTTTAGACTGAGATAGGAGAAAGCTTGGACATAGGAAATCTTCCACTTTTCCAAATGTTTACAGATAGAGATCTTGAATTGATTGTCAAGGTAGGAGACCACCGAGAGGAGGATTAACTAGAACACAGGGAGAAGCTCTCCTGGTGACCTGTAGAGTCAGACTGGCAGATATTGGGGATCCCTGAGATCACAGCCATCTGACGGGAGGATATGGGAACAGAGGGTGGGTCATTACCCATGCACCCATTGGAGCCCTGGACATAAGCCATAGAAGGGAAACAGGGTTGAGTTGTCACCCACACATGCTATTGCCTGGAGACAGAGTATGGAGGCATGAGGCCGTAGGAGATGTGCCTGGTACCAGGACTTTGGGGCAAAGTTGCATAGAACCATAACCCGTAGAGTCTAAATAAGAGGATCCTCCACCTGCCACGTCTTACTGTTGGGCACCAAAAAATATGTTGTGCCCAGATCGTTAGATCCCCACAGAGACCCCCAGAGAGTCGATCACACCGAACTGCAAAAGCAAGGTTTATTCGGGAGTACAAGCCGTGACAGGGACCCCATCCAACCTACCGGCACAGCGGAGGAAGGAGTGAGGCCCCGGTCTTTGTTTGGGAGAGTTTTTAAAGGAAAAAGGGGCTACATCAGCAGGAAAAAAGAGTTACATACAGCATGGAAGCTCTGGGTACAGGGAGTTACTTTGTTTAGCAATCTCTACTGTGCTGTCCTTGGTCTACCGAGCTAGCTGTCCCTGGTAAGCTTTGATATCTCCGGAATGCCTGAACGCCTGCTTTTACAAGGACACGGGTCTGCTATGGGAAATGGAGGCTGCTTTTTTATTGTTTTAAAATGGAATCACTTTGGTTCTTCATTGCCTCAGAAATTTGGAGGGCTGGTGTGTGGATGGAGATTGCAGAGTGTTCAGAGGTGAAGGAAGTCCGGGGTTGAGTTTTGTTGTTGGCAGAATTCCAGGATCTCAAAGCAGCTCACATCCCCGAGAGGAAAGCAAGGTTGAGGGCAGAGTCTGGCCCCAGGTTTTGGAGCCAGTGAAAGGTCACCACAAAAACAAACAAACAAACAAAAAAACTGGATTTCATTGTTTTTTTTTTACTGCGGTATAGTATTCTAAAGAGTACATATCCCATAATTTCTTTATCCAGTCTACCGTTGATGGGCATTTAGGTTGGTTCCAGGTCTTAGCTATTGTGAATTGAGCTGCAATAAACATTAGGGTGCAGACCCCTTTTTTGTTTGCCAATTTAAATTCCTTTGGGTAAATTCCAAGGAGTGGGCTGGGCTGGGTTGAATGGTAGGGTTATGTTCAGGTGAAACCAGTATCTTTTAAACATTTCTTTAAAGAAACCCCGAAATTACACATGTTTCTAGGGCACCACTTAATGGGCAGGCAGCATCCTTTGCGTATGTGCATTCGCACAGATGATCCCCATAGCGTTGGCTGTTTTCACGCTGCTTCTGTGTTATGTTTAAACTTCAAGTGGTCATGGTCATTTGTCATTTCCCTTTTGTCCTCTAGGCTTTGTTTTATTCCTGAAAGCCCTTCTCCAATCGGGAATGCCAGGATCACACTGGTGCTGAGAGTCCTGGGTTTTCAATGTGGGAGGCCTAAGACACATGGTTTCTAGTTGTTTCTCAATGAGTCAGTGAGCCCGTCCTCTAGATAGCTACATTGGCCTCTAGGACAAGGGAGTTATAGGTAGAGCCAGCTCTGTAATAGGGCATAGTGTTCAGGGTCTGGGCCTGGCTTCTGTAAGTCCCCAAACATCCTCCTTGAAGTCCATTCCTGGTAGGGTTGTCCATCCAGCCTGATGGCATGTATGTGTACTGTCTGCGTGGTGAACTGAGAGCACAGTGTGAGGGAATGTTCTTAGGTTAGAGGTCAGCTTCTGCCAGACCCATTGGCAGCTGAGATTCTAAGCTCTGACTTAACCAAAAGATGGGTTTTCCTTCTAGTGAACATCTTTGGAAAGAGCGTTCAGCTCCCTAATGAGCTACCTGTTGCCATAGGTAGTTCAGTGACATGTCCCTGGTGATTGGTGTTGCCATGGACCCATGGACATGGCAGTGAAGGGATTTCCTGGGTGTGTACACACTCAATATTGCCAATACTGGAGGGAAGGCCCAAATGGCCTTTAGACAAAGGAAGTAAATGTGTGTATGTGTGTGGTTGTGTGTGCTTTGCTGTGTATCTAACTTATTTGTATATGTACACTTTCTTGTTATACTCTCATACATGTGGGATCAGGTGTTTTTATGCTTTACTTATTCCTGTGATGTACATGTTTGTATGTATTTGTGTTTGTAGAAATAATGTTGTTAATGTATTCTTTTCTCCTAGGGAGTTGAAGCATCCTGGATGCAAGAATGCAGGTAAACGAACCATTTTCTATATGTTTATGGAGTGGTACAAGTAGTCAGACAGTTAAGCATGTATCTTTAGGGGTCTGTTCAATGTCTATGTACATTTTCATAAGTGTATATAGGCCAGGATTTCTACAAGAGCACTATTTTAGTTATGAATACCATACAGAACAGAACCTGCCAATCATGGGCCAGAAATGTGCAACCCTGGCTGGGTTGAGGTCATAGGAGCCCTTGGCTGACCATCTCCCTTCCTGCACAAGAATGTGTGGGCCATAAACATCCAAGAAGACCCTCAGAAGTCCCAAGTTATCCTCAGGGCACTCTCACGTGGCAGACCTGTGCCACCAGCCTTATGTCACCAGAACTCAGGTCTTCATGGACTACCTCCAAGTCAGCCTCAGAACATAGCTCTCTGTGTGAGGAAATTCTCCACAGAGAGGGCTAGCTTCAGTTCTGTTGGCATCTGAGTTGCTCAGACTCGTGGCTGATTCAAAGGATGTGTTTTTCTTTTGATGGAAAGAGTGGCCATCTTTCCACTAAGATTCAGATCCCTGTTGTCATGGCTGTTTTGGTGGAAAGGCCCTGGTGATTGGTGTGCACTAAGGGGCCCTGGAATGGGCAGTGAAGGGCCTCCAGGTGTGTTATACCCCAAGCTTGCCAGTGAGACGTGGAGGGCCCAATGCCTGGACAATTAGATTATATAGACTATACGTGTATCTAAGTGTGTCAGATTGTGTGTACTCCCCAGTGTTGTGTGTGTAGTTATTTGTATATGTACATTGTCTTGTTATAGAATCATGGATATAATACTCATGGATTTATTTCTCTGTTACTTACTTTGGAAACATATGTTTGCATGTATTTTTGAGTATATACAGCTCTAGAAATAATGGCCATAGTATATTCTTCCCTTCTGCAGTGTCAGATTATCCCATATAGCTCCACAGTTAAAGGAACCACTGTCTGTTCTGTAGACCAATAGGAGTACATACACAGTTATGTACACTTCCTCCTCAGTTTGTTCAGTACATGCACACATTTACAGATGTGTGTGTAATGCGTATTTGTCTAAGAGTTTTAACTTTTGTTGTGGATACGATATGGGTTTCCACCTGTCAATGTAGAAGCAAGGGACTTCTGGAAAGATTAATGGCCTGGGGACTGGGGATGACCCATGGCCTTGCTCCTGTCTTCTGGCTATGTCCATGGGCAACATACATGTGCACACACGTCCAACAGTTTTTCCAAGTGTCTTGGCCTAGGATTAGTGGGTCCTAAAATAGACAGTCTCCTTATGCATCCACCTTGGCTTTCAGACCAGACATCCAGCCTGTGACCTGGTGAGGGGTATCTTTCACATGGGGGTGTTGTCAGTAAAGGGTGGTAACCAGCCATGGGTCCTGAGCGCCTCAGGTGTGGGAGGCGTACAGCATGTGGACTCCAGGTGTTTCCAAGAGAGTCAGTGAGCTGGCCCTGCAGTTCTCCTGGGCAGTATCTCTAGGACATGCTGCTTTGGCCAGAGCTGGCTTTCCCAGAGTGTGTAGCCTTCAGGCCTGTGCCATTTCCTGGTCTCTTTGAAGTCCCCAAACAACCCCATTTTGGTTGCACTGTGACAGGACCATCCCTCCAGCCTCATGCCATCTGACCTGGTGCCTAGGTTTACTACCTACAAGGTAACCTCCCCAGAAACACAGATTAGGGGGAGAGGCCAGACTTCACCTACCCTTGTTGACCCGGGAGTCTTTAAGTGCCACAAGTTTTCAAAATGTGGGTTTTCTTTCTGGAAAAGAGTGGCCAACAATCCACTGATGTTGAGGTCCCTGGTTTCAGGGCTGATGCACTGACACGTCCATGGTGATTAGTGTCATCCCATGGTCAATGGAACTATCAGCAAGGATCTCTCTGGGTGTTTCTGACCCCCATGCTTTCCAGCACAGAAGAGGAGGGCTCAGTGGCCCCTCTGTGAAGAGCTTGAGTGTGTGTGTCCAATTCTGTATGAGCTCTTTGGGGCTGTGTATATTAGTTTTGTAAGCCCAATGTGTTGTGAACGTCAGGTATGTGGATGTTACAGATTGGTTTCTATCTGTATTTATTTCTAGGATACATGTTTTATGTATTTGTGGTGTGCACATTTGTAAATTAAAGGTTGTCCTGACTTCCTCCTTCCTTTGAGAGGGAAGCATCCCAGAAGGAAGGATGCAGCTTTACAAGTAAAAAACAACTTTCTTTTTCTTTTTTTAAAAAAGATTTGTTTATTGAAAGCAGCACTAGAGAGAGGAGAGAGAGATACAGAGAGAGAGAGAGAGAGAGAGAGAGAGAGAGAGAGAAATCTTCATCCACCATTTCACTCCCATGGTGGCTGCAACAGCCAGGGCTGGACCAGATAGAAGCCAGGAGCCAGGAGTTTCATCCAGGTCTTCCATGAGGGTGTAGGAGCCCAAACACTTGGGACATTTTCTGCTGCTTTCCCAGGCACATTAACAGGGAGCTACATCAGAAGTGGAGCAGGGGCTAATGCTGTGGCATAGTGGTTAAAGTCACCTCTTGTAGTACCTGCATCCCATATAGGTGCCCATTCAAGACCTGGCTGCTTCACTTCTGATCCAGCTTCCTACTATGGCCTGGGAAAACGGTGGAAGATGGCCCAAGATGGAAGATTCTCTATCTCTCACTCTCACTCTCTCTCTTTCTCTCTCTCTGCCTATGCCTATACCTATGCCTATGCCTCTCTGAAACTCTGCCTTTCAAATAAATAAATATATTAAAAAAGTGGAGCAGCTGGGACTTGAACTGGCACCCTTATGGGATGCCGGCACTACAGGCAGCAACTTTACCCACTACACCATAGTGCAGCCCCACAATATTATTTTTCAAAGTATAGAGGTATTTATAAAGTTATATATGTGTCTTTAAACATTCATTCAGTACTTTCACACATTTCCTTAAATACATCAAGGGAGGAATGTGCCCAAAAATGTTACTTTTGCTACATATCCCTTGCAGCACTCAAATTCCCATTAATGAACCAAGAGTCGTCCGGAAATCTCGTTGACATGAGATCCAGGGACTCATGGCTGATCTAGATGCTCACTCTGTCCCTATCTCCTGATCTTAGATGATGCATAGACAGCTCACATCCCTGTGCCCTCCAACAAGGGAGATAACCCACTCACCAGCAGAAGGTCCTTTATTAGACCCATTCTTGTGCTCCTACCTGGTTTTTGATGCTTTATCCTCAGCCTCTGGTGTAGGGGTTTGTTGTCTCCCACATGTCCCATTCGAATAGCCAGTAAACCAGCCACAGGTCCATAATGCCCCTCCAAGCACATGAGAAGCTTAACAGGAGTGGTTTCCAGGAAGTTACTTCTCTAGCCTCCTGCTCACTGTGTCTGAGGCTATAGCTCCTGTTCCACCCACTGTTATCCCTTTTAGACTTGCTGCCTCTGAACTATCTGCACCATGCACAAGTGCATGAGGAGGCCAGCCCAGTGCCTCCTCTGCATGCCATGCCTATGTTTCTGAAGTCACAGGTGCACACCATGCCATCCATGAATCCTGCCAACCGGTGCCTGGACGGTTTGGGGAGAGATCACCTGTGCATGCTTGTAGGGTATCAGAGGCTTGAAGAGCTTGTATGATATTAATCTTGTCTTTTGCTAACAAGCGATGCCATGTGTATGTGTTTGTGTGTTGGGGGGCAGGGCTAAGATGCAGCTGTGGGGGTCAGTGTTGTGGCACAGCAGGTTATCCTGTCACCTGGAATGCCGGTATCCCATATGGCCACCAGTTTATGACCGGTTGCTTCACCTCCTACCCAGCACCTTGCTAATACACTTGGAAAAGCAGTGGAAGATGGCCCAAGTGCCTGGGCCCCTGCACCCACGTGGGAGATCCAGATGAAGCTCCTGGCTTCTGCCTTTGGCCTGACCCAATCCCAGCTGTTATGGCCATTTGGAGAGTGAACCACCAGTAGATGGAGGATCTCTCTCTCTCTCTCTCTCTCTCTCTCTCTCTGACTCTGCCTTTCAAATAAATAAATAAATCTTGAAAAAGAAAGATGCAGCTGTGGGCCTGGCTCAGCCATTCCACCAATGGGTGTCCCTGGACAGTGAGCAGTAGAACATCCCCAGGCTCCAGGGAGCCAGAGTTCATTCATGAACTCCTGGTTTGTGAGTATAAGATCATCATTTTGTTTTCCAAGCCACCCATCCTGTAGTGTGTGTGTATGTGTGTGTGTAAATCTTTAATTGCTCAGGAATTGGATTCATGACATTATATGGATAACAGTTTTTTTTCCTGTACATTAATTTTTATATATCAGCAAAGAAAATTCAAAGAGTACTTTTGCTTAGAGAGTTTATTTCCAAGGTAGTGCATTTAAGGACAAGGGCAAATCAGTAAGATGATCCTTGTCCATTCTGTGTCAAACACAAGGGATTGTGGTAAGCCAGCTGTTTATGCTTGAACTTGGCAAAACTCATTTCTGCTGGAGTTGTGGACCTAGGTGAACCTGATCTTGCATGTACCTGTTTGATAGTCTAAGGGATTCAAAATGCATAGCACTCACTAACTAAAACTAACTAACTAAAAACCATTCTGGTAACTGAAACCAAATTTTTCTGAAATAAGACTGATGTAAAAGTAAAGTGAAAATTACTAATTCTAAACTCAAATGCCACAAATATAAATAAAAAACCAAAACTCCTAAATTTTGTGATTCAAAGAAACCAAAAGAAACTAAAACTTAATGATCCTATGAATGAAATGGTGACCGATAAAGACAGGCTAACCAGTCACTCAGAGAAAAGAATTTTGTAGACATCATAGAAAGTAACTGCATAATCTCAGAGATTCTGATACTGACTCTTCATAGAAAGGGATTTTATAAATCTAGATTTGCAAAGTTGGGGGCCATTGTTTCCTTATATAACAGGCCTTCCTATGGAGTAGCAATGATCCGGTTAAGTTGAAAGAGGGGTTTTCAGAGGGGAATCTCATATGGAATAATGGTAAATTGCAGAGCCAAGAAATCAGGTGTCATGTTTTCCAGCATTGCACAAAAGCAACTGAGAGAAGCTATGTGAAGACAAGTCTTTCTGAATCCTATTGCTCATGCAGAATTCCCAAAACCAAATTTTCTATTAAAAGGAACAAAACCAGAATCTTGGTGGCAATATGCCCATCCCCATATAAAAGTACTAGAGGGAGGAATCAGTAATAAAGAGAGAGAAAGTACTCTCTGATACATGAAAACACTTCCATCTTTGTGTAATTTGTGTTCTCGGCGGGGTAGTTTTCAGGATGAGGGAGACATGGTTGAGACAATGATACCAAGCATGGAAGGACATGATACTAAGAATCAGGGAAGCTCAGAAATGAATGGGCAGACTCAGGAAAGAAGGAGGAAAACAGGAAAAACTAACATCACCCATGAAATGCAAACCAGAAGAAACACAAACAGATCTGTGCCTTTCAGGAAACAGAAGGTGAGAGAGGAAATATACAGAATAGGAGCTTGACCAAAGATTTCAGAAGATGAGAGAGGAATACCAGAAGTTGAATACCTGCATGTGTATGAATGAGATTGCTGGAAGAGGAAAAACCAATGCAATGATCTAAAGCTAATAATTATAATTCAGACTGTTTCCGGAAATGACAATATGCTCTCAAACTCCTCCTTCACAGAAAACTGGGTCATACTTTGAGTGAGTGAAGCCATTTATAGCCTAGTAAAATCTGGGAATTATATGAAAAATATTCAGAGATCTAGAATACAGGGATGAGTAACATAGAAGGGAATGAAAATGATCCAGCTGGTCTGGGTTGGGAGGAAAAAGAAGACAATATTTAAGATGCTCAAGAAGAGCCAAGAACTTTGTGCCATCCAAGCTGCCATTAGGTGAAAAATAACATTGGCATCCAAGACTTTGTGAGAGATCTTGGGTGAGATGGACCCCATGATCCCTTCCAGAGGAAGGAACAGACGTGAGACAAAAACCCTAGAAAGTCATTACTGTAAGGACAGATTTTAACAGCCAACCTGGCAGTGACTTTGCTCAGTGAAGACCAAATGAGATTCCTCTCGAGGGAGTGATGATGGTGGTACTCCCTAGGGTGACTGCTCTCTGATCATTTTAAGTTCTGCCTTTGCTAAAGGTGTTTTCTTATGATGTATTTATTTTACAGAAAAGCATGTAAAGATCAACTAGTACTAGGTGAAAGAATTTAATATAAAGTTCGCAGAGGACTGGTGAGGAGGGATGTGGCTGATGTTGGGTCTCCTGTGTAGTTCAAGTTTCCGATGGTGTGGGAAACTCCAGCTCCTCTGATTGCCAGGACTCCACACTGCAGACTTCTGAGCAGCTAAAGATGTCTGCAAGAAAGACACAGGAGCAGGGGTCAGTGGGGAGGACAGGGATGAGGCTGGGGTGGGGACAGTGGGGTGGGTGTGCAGCTCTCAGAAGGCTCCTGTGCCCTGGGAGGTAACCGTAGGTCCTGAACTGCACAGCAGTCAGGGCCATGGGGGCACTGAGGCCCATTTGGATGGGGTGTGGATGTCCTACAATTGTGAATTCCCCTAGGCACTCACCTGGGCAGCCTTCATGGGACTGGCCGCTTTGGCAGTGAACCTGATGCACAGGAAGGGGGAGGTCTCTTGGCCCCTGGGATTACAAATCCAAGGCCTACTCCCCTGGGTCTTGTGAGGAGCAGGAGGTCTGATGACACAGAATGGGAGTCCTGACCCTGCCCACTCAGTCCTTACCCCACAGGTCTGGGGCCTGTGAGCTGCATGTTAATTATGGACAACTGCACAGAGCCTTTGGTTTCCTTCCTTAATCTTGTAGAAGTTCTTTCTATCCTCCCTGTAAAAGTCATCTCAGAGATTTTATTGGCAAAGAATTATTCTGTGGCATTAAAACCCCACCATTATTGCTTTAGTATATTTTGGCATGGAACATGTGATGGAAGACTTTCTTTTGAAGACATACAGCCAATGCGTATTTGTAATTGAAGTATAAATTAGAGCACAAATGAGAAGAACAGAGGGGCTTGGGGCCCTGCTCCTGCCAATCTTCGAAGTGAGCTTTGCCTTGAATTGCTGGCAAGTTTTTGAATTTTTTTTTTTTTTTGACAGGCAGAGAGAAAGGGGCAGATAGAAAGGTCTTCCTTTTCCGTTGGTTCACCCCTCAGTGGCCGCTGTGGCTGGTGTGCTACGGCTGGCGCACTGCACTGATCTGAAGCCAGGAGCCAGGTTCTTCCTCCTGGTCTCCCCCATGCGGGTACAGGGCCCAAAGACCTGGGCCATCCTCCACTGCACTCCTGGGCCACAGCAGAGAGCTGGACTGGAAGAGGAGGAACCGGGACAGAATCAGGCGCTCCGACTGGGACTAGAACCGGGTGTGCCGGCACTGCAGGCAGAGGATTAGCCTAGTGATCCATGGCACTGGCCCAAATGTTTGAATTTGACAGGTACATAGGAAATTTTACACCCAGAAAAATAAAGCAATCAACGTATAAAAAAGGCTCTAAGAAAGGAGGCTGAGGTCCCCAAAAGGCCTGGAGCTCTTGTGTTCTGTGCTGGCTCCTAGTTGGTGTCAGGATGGGCTGGGAACCCACAAGGATACAAAGGTGAGTGCAGTGGGCTCTCTTCCTGGTGTGAAAAGACACCCAAAGGCACCTCTCTCTGTCTCACCCTCTTCCTAATCGTCCTGAGTTTGAAGAGGTCAGGGATGACCCACAGTGTCTCCCCACACCTGTGAAACTGCCTGTTGACTTTGGGTTGGGCAGGTGGGGATGCACCCTGTAGTGGGAGATGTTCAACAGTTCTGGGGGCTTTCCCCAGAAACAACACAACTAACATCCCCCTCCGAAGTCATTTGCATGCCAATCCTGCTAGCATCTCCAGCCTTTCCTTCAGATGAAAGCAGCTACTGGGGGCTCAGCCTGGGAGCCCTAAGGGCTGCCATGGAATGGGGATGTGTCCCTGGAACCACCTCTGGGTGCATCTTTCACTCACCTGCGTGGATCCTGAACATCCATTCATCACTCTCCAGGTCAGGCTCGACGGCAGCCTCTCCACCTCTGGGCTCCAGTTTGTTGGCTTCCCTGAGGTGTCAAAAGAATGTGAAGCAATGGAGTCCATGTGCCCTTACTTCCCTGACCCCCGTCTACCTGCTCCAAACTCACATTTCCTGATCTTCATCGAGGTCCTCCATGTCCTGTAGACTTTCAGGGTAGTTAACGTCAAGGGAACATGTGGACAGCTGGAAGGAGACAAGTATGTTTCCTGAAACAGGCGTTAAGGAAAAGCCCTGTCCTGGGGGACATGGAGGCCAGAGTCAGACTTCCCTGGAGTCCTCCCTCCATTGACACTGGGACCCTGCCTGCCTGTCCCCAGCCAAGTTCCCTGTGTGGGCAGTCGGGTTGCTCAGTACCGTTTCATAGTGCAGTGTGGGGGTGAGGAGTGAGGGCAGGGCTGATGAAGGGAGAGGGGAGGGCTGCAGAGAGACTGGACCAGCATCCACAGTGCAAGGACATCCACTGCCTGAATGCCACCAGGTCCTTCAGGATGCGAATCATCCACTGTGGTGAGGAGGGAATGTGGGAGAAGCAGGACCAGGTGCTTGTGAGCAAGCAAGCAAGAGAGTCAGAAAAAAATAAAAGAGGAATCACTCACCCCTAGATCGCCGCTGCCAAGATAACTTTCAGATTCTGCCAGGTTGCCTTCTGTGTGCACCAGAGGAGAGAGAAGGAAAGGGGAGAATTAGGCTTGAGGTGAGGACTCGGATCCCTGCTGCTGGTTAGATGATGTAGGCCAACCTTGGACCCCATGTCTGTATCCTTATCCCAGGCCTAGATGGCTTCACCTCTGTAATGAGTGAGAGGATCTGAACTCTGACTTCTTCTTCCAGCCCTCAGATTCCCATCACTGTGCCTAAGAAGTGTCACCTTGTTCCTCCATAGGTAGCCACTGGGTCGATGTGTGCAACTCATTGTTTTCCATCCCTCGTGTTTCCCTTCCTCTATTTTGTCTCATAACTCTTGTCCATTTCCTTTGTCCTTGTCATCTACCAATCACATTATTGTCTGATATGGGAGCTCTGGAGGCCGAGATAAAGATATACTGCCACCTGGGGCTGGCATTGTGGAGGAGCAGGTTCAAGCGCCACCTGTGGGGACCCCTCCATGGGATCCCTGGTTGGTGTCCCTGCTCCTCCACTTCTGATCCAGCTACCTGCTAAAGTGCCTCAGAAAGCAGTGTAGGATGTTTCGTGCTTGGGCCCTGCCAGCTGTTTGGGAGACTCTGATGGAGTTTTGGACTCCTGATTCGGCCTTGTCCAACCTGCTCATTGAGGTTCTATGGGGACTGAGCCAGTGGATAGAAGATTTCACTCTGTTTTTCCCTCTCTGTCTATAACTCCGCCTTTCAAGTAAGTAAATAAATCTTTAAAAAACATATTGCCACGAACAACAATATATCTATAGATCACTTCTTAGGTGGGAAACAAGTGTCATGGATGCTTGTTGGGCCTTGGGAAGGTAATGAGGACCAACCCCATATGTCTGGGGTAACCTCATGGAGTTTGGAAATATTGAATCATCACAAGAATCCCATGTTTCCTGATCCAGTTGAAAAGATGACCCAAAGAGGAGAGGAAATTTAATTTGTTCAAATTCTGGTAGTCGGCCAAGGAGGCAACAGGGTGTCCACAGCAGGTGTATTCTTGGCCATATCAATAAATGGGACTTGCTAGGGTTTTCCTGAGCAGTGGGAGGACTGGGAGGTAGGACATTGGCAGGCCTGAGGACAGGGAACGTGCTAGGCATGACTGGAGGGGGAAAAAGGCTGTGTTTGAAGCAGTGCATCTGAGGGGAACAGTGATGCCCAGTCCTGCTGCCCAGAGGCCCTCCACTGAGCCCAGTGCATTCCAGGAGATGAGGTCAGCAGGACCGCGTGTGTGTCCAGCCCAGGATCCCCTAACACACATCCTCTGGGCAGCCTGTACAGCTATGCAGCGTCTCCAGTAGGTTCTGGATAATGGCCTGTCACACAGTCTACTCCAAACACTAGACTTGGATGAGATGTGGAAGCCAAGATGAACCCAGAGTAATGCTTGGCCCTCACAACTCTAAGATGCTGGGGCCTCCCCAGTCAGCCCAGAGCAAGTATTCTTTAACTCAACTGACCCTGGGTGTGTGTGTGTGGGGGGGTGCTCTTCTTCCTTCTGCCCTGAGCTGAGGATGAAGCAAGGAGCCCTTACTGAGACACAATGGCAGCACCTTGCTCTTTGACCTTCAACCTTGTAAGAAAGAAATTTCTGTTCCTGATTAATTACAGAGTCTCAGGTATTACGTTGTGGCCAGAAATGGACGAAGACAATGGTCAGTGCAAAACCCAGACATCTCTTGTGTTCAATTCGAAGGTAGTGCTGTCCTGTCACAATGCAGTGGATTTGATCTTTGCAATGGCAAAGCCAGGGGTGGTCAGTATTAAAGCAAATGTAAAGTTTTAAATAGTAAAGCAAGAAATGATAGTTAACAATTTCTATTGCTCCAATCCCATGGGCATAAAACCTCTTCCTACTCTATAATTAATATAAAAAAGAACAAATCAGACGTCTACATACAATGTCTTTTTTCCTCCTGAGTTCCTATGTCCTCTCAGAGTCCAAAGCAGTGGGTAACCCAAGCATTGCCCTAATTTGACCCTCTGGTCTTTGTGGGTGTTGCTCCTACCTGAAGAGGCTTCATCGTCACTGGTATAGTCAGAAACGCTCTGTAAGACCCAATCTTGAGAGACACAAACACAGACAATAAGTGTTCACAGAGAGTCTTGCCCGTTCCTCCCCTGGATTGCTCAGCATGACCCTGCCCCTTCTCTGTGCTCTCAGCCCCTTCCTGGGCTCTGTGGACCTGACCTTCAGGCAGACATTGACCACAGCTTCAAGCCTTCCAGGGAGGGAGAGGAGCTGACGGCACCACCTCTCAACGTCTCACTTTCCCTAGTGCACTGAAATATGATGACTCCAGCCTGCATCTGAAACCCCTCACTTTTTTATATACATATTCCTGTAACCATGCAGCAATACCTCTGTGATTGTTTTTTTATAGAGAACTGATAGTGGCTTCAGAGGAACATAACTAGGGTAATACACACAAACTGCCAAACTTGTACACTCAGAACTGTAACACATGGGAGCCCACAGAGATAAAGCCCACCCCCATGCACAAGCCAGTATCTTCCAGGGACCCCAGAAAATGATCATTACCCTTTATCAGGAAGTTAATTTCCCACCAGCGCACTCCAAGTCCTCTGTCATAGCAGGAATTGGGCATCAGGTGGCCTTCCACACTAAAGCCCCCAAGATAGTCCCATCTGTGCTGTCATCTGGACTATTCGTACTATAGGGAGTAAGTGATTCCCGAATACATACCACTTGCTGTTTGTATTGAGATCACCTGTAATTAGAAAATGGCACCATGAGGGTCTGAACACTCTGTGTCCCTTTGCACCTGTCTTTAATGCCCTTGGTGACACTGGGAAACCCCATGTGAAAGAGTGGTCCTATGGAGGGAACCCAAAGACGTGAGCAGAGTGATCACACTCACTCCAGGAGGCATGAGCTCTTCATGGGGGATGTGTCTCTCCAGTCCACTGTGGTTGGAAGTCACAAAATTCCTTTCAAAAGAGGAGAAGTGCTGCAGAGAAAAGCTTGCTGTGGTCCAGTCCTGACAGTCATTTTGTCCCTGTGTCCCGCGTCAGCTCTCTGTCGGTGTAAACTCTCCCTCTCAGTGGCCCTCACCGTGCACAGGGTGTATCATGGACCCTATCCATGGTCAGGTTTTCTTCTCTTCGTATGGTTGAGAAAGGAAGAAGCCGAGGAAGGAACATTTCTGTTTTAGAGGAAGGCGGGGGCCCTTACCTCAGTGTACTCTGGAGTTTCTTTATCCTCCGTGTCACCAGGAAGCTCCTCCCATGCATCCTCCAGGGGCACTAAAAGGACATATGGTGACTGTCAGTACACTGGTGCACCAGGGAGTATTGGTGGAAATGGGCATGGGGCGAGGGTTAAGGTGAAGGAGAAGAACGTGAAAGACCTGAGAAACAGAGCCTTAAGCTTTCTAGCTCAAGGCAGCTTCATTCATGGGAACTATTTGGGGCCAATACCACCATGGTTGCTGTATTTCAGTAAGAGTCCTGGGACGACTCCTGCATGTTTAGAAACCAAATAAACTGCTACTGTCGTCTTGATGTTTCCCAAGGTCACTACTACTCAGGGGTCAATATCTGTTTATTGTATTTGAATATGTCATCTCTCCTATGAGCTTCTGAACTTAATTAAAAGCAACCGTTAGTGGGAGAAGGACTCAGTTGTAGGCAAAGCAACATGTTCATTTATTGCCAATCCCTAGGTACCACACAAGTAAATGAAGAAGATGTAAAAATGGTGAAATTCCACCATTTAAAAATGAGCACCAGGCATTATGGTAAAACTTTTCTCCTGTTCCTATTGTTTTTATTACCATTAGAAATGGTATCTTTATGGATTATAGCATAAGAATTCATTGTATGCAGACAGTGTGTGATGATCAAATCATGTTGACCTTTCCAGCTCCCTAAATATATTTTAAACTGTTTTCATTTGTATTAAATACTTTTCACATATGTTGGGAGTATGTTTCATATCCAGCTAAGCCATGGAATTGTGACCTAACCATCAGACACATGTGGGGTGAGGGTTGAATGTGCTCACTTACATAAAGTGCAGAAGGTGATCAGGTTCTTTTTTGTTTTTGTTTTTTTGAGATGAACCTTGAGCTGTGCATTTGGGAACACATTTTCTGTGGGAAGTCTGTACACATATACACATCCAAGCACTTTCAAAGACATGCACGCTCACTCATAAAAACTCACCATACTGGGGCACAGAAACCCCCACCATCTAAATGACATAGCTATTTCCAGAGCCGGCCTTAGATGCCTGTAGCTATGTGCTAGTCTTTCTGGTTTTTGTTTTACCACACCCTCAATCTTTTTAATCCACCAGGAAGCTGGAATCAGGTTGGCTCTCCAGAAGAGAACCGGCAGGAAGGTCCCAGTGTCTCCTCCCTTCAGTTGTTCCTCAGCACCTGAGGCATTCTAGAATACGTACAGTGTCCACTGGATCCTGAGTCCACCTGCAGTCAGAGAAAGGAAGTCACTGTGAGGTCAGATACTGTTTGCACAGGTCTCTTCTCCTGGTGCTGACCTTGGGAAACTTGATGGGATACAGTGCATGAGGCAAATGCCCCAATTAAAGCACAGAGGATACTTGTGTGAAATATGTGAGCTTTACACAGCCCATTTTACGTGTTCATTTTGGTGGGCAAATGCAACATTCATTTGTGAAAATGAAAACCTGGGGGTTGGCCTTGTGGCACACTGGGTTAGGCTGCCCCCTGTGAGGCAAGCATCACATATCAGAGCACCAAATCAAGTCCAGGCTGCCCTGCTGCTGCCAGTTCCCTGCTCATGTACCTGGGAAGGCAGTGGAGGATGTCCCAAGTATTTGAGTCCCTTCCAACCAGTGGGAGACCCCCAGATGGAGTTCCAGGCTCCTGGCTTCCACATGGCCAGGCCCAGCCATTATAGCCATTTGGGAAGATAACCAGAGGATTTAAGATCTTTGTCTGTCTCTCTGTTATTCTGCCTTTCAAATAATGAATAAATCTTTTAAATCATAAAATATTTAAACTATGCAGAACTGCTCCTGTGGAAAACGCCCAGCACCACATCACTTGTAATTGATTCTGTCCTTTTATGAGACCCTCTTGAGTCATGTCTCACTTTATAACAGACATGCCCTGGGCTTCCCCCACAAATAAATTGTGGAAGTCATCTGCAGTATAGGCGTTCAGATTTTCGTATCTGAGAAAAACGTTGCCTGGGCCTGATGTTGTGACACAGTGAACGGAACTGCTGCCTGCAGTGCCAGCAGTCCATCCTGCAGTGCCAGTTTGCATCCTGGTTGCTCAGCTTCCAATACAATGCCATGCTGTTGTGCCTGGGGAGGCATGGAGAATGTCCCCTGTCACTCATGTGGGAGATCTGGATAGTGCACTGACTCCTGGCTTTGGCCTGGACCATCTGGGGAGTAAACTACTAGATGGAAGATCTTTTGTTCTCTTCCCCTGTCTCTGTGTAACTCTGCCTTTCAAATAAATAAGTAAATAAGACTAGTGATTGTATACCAGGAACATTTGTTTCTGTGACCAAAAACCCCAGTCATACCTTGCCAAGAGATGTGACTTCCTCCTCTGCTCTGTCTCTCGGAATCGCTTCCACCAGGTCCTCAGGAGCAGCTAGGAGAACCACGGGGTAACTGTCAGGTGTTGTGGATGAGTTCGGCAGGGAGACTTGCTTGCTGTGGACATGGGCCTAGGCTAGGTGGGGATAGTTGTGAGCAGTGAACTACGTCAAAAGTTTTGTGCTGCACTCAATAACAGAGCAAGAAAAAGACAAGCCAGCCCTGCACCCACAAGTAGCAGGAAGGCCACCTGATGTGAGCTTGGAACTGCACACGTGCTACTGTTGCGTCATCCTCCCTGGCAGATGAAAAATCCCAAGAAGAGGAGCAGGAAAGAAATGAGAAGGGAGTTTGGCTTTCTTACTACTAGCAACCAAATCATTATGAAATAGTCAATTTAGAACTAGGCGAATGCCATAGTGCACTGATTCATTGATGATGCCTCATCATTGCTCCTGTGCAAAATGGGCGTGGAAATGCCCAAAATGTAGACCGTAGAAATCCCTGCTTTTTTCTTGTTGTGTTCCAAGATCATTTACCTCCATGAATTTACATAAGCAGCTATTTCATTTGCCGTCTTTCCTTTCAGGTATTTTTAAATTGCTGTGGGCAAGTAGACATTTATTATCTGAATCACTTGTAAGTGAAAATTTCAGTGGCATGAATTACTTGGCAGTGCTGTGTAAGCACCACCCCTGTGTGCCCCAACAATTGTCATCATACCCAATCTAAACTCTGCATCTATAAAGGAAGAACTTTACCTTCTCCTCCTTCCATCCCCAACTAATCTGTACTTCCAGTCCCTTTGAATTTGCCTGTTGTAGACATGCCATTGTATTAGAAACATACAGTGTTTGTGTTTCTGTGTCTATTGCAGTGTGTTGTTTTACCATGTCCTTCCATGGTGTGGTATAAAACTTTAATTCATTTTTATATATTAAAACTCTTCCACTGTGTTCATATACCACATTGTCATTACTCATCCGTTTGTTGATTGGCACAGCTCTGGCCATTGCAGCCATTTGGGGGTGTGAACCAACAGAAGGAAGACCTTTCTCTCTGTCTCTCCCTCTCACTCTCTGTAACTCTCTCAAAAAAAGTAAAATAAAATCTTTACAAAAAAAGGCCAACTTAGATCTATCAAAAAAGTGAAGCAAGTGGACAAGCTGCCACCCTGGAATTCCTGCCTGCAGCTGACAGGTGCAGAGAGCACAGCTGCAGTCAGCATAGCTGAAGCAGTGGTCCTGGAGCCTGTGGCTCACAGCGCACATGCATGGGAGTGTGGATGGGCTCAGAGGCTGAGTGTGCACCTGCTGGAGAACAAACCCAGTGGGGTCCAGTCTCCAGGTCACCCCACTTCTGTATGTTTGTGCTCCACAGGTCCACCAGATTCTCGTGGTGAAGGTCAGAGAACCCCTGTGGGCCCAGGAGAGGGGGAAATACCCATTTGGAAATACTCAGGGGAAAGTGAGCACTGTGAAGTATTCCTAGGTGTTCTTCATAGCAAAGTCACATCCTCCAAGGACACCACCAGAACCTTATGTGACTGGATAGGGGGCATCCAGACAACTCTAGTCCCCACTAGTTTTAGTAAAATAAATAGGGAGAATAGGAGGCTAGGGAAAGGTGAAAGAGGAAAGGTCAGGGACTCGGGTTGGCTTAAAAAGGAGTTGAAACAAGGGTTGATACAAAACTTTCCTTCCCCTACTCCTCACCACCAGTTCAACAGGGCCTCCATGAAATAATAGTGAATTAAAATGGAGACAGCAGTGAGACAGGTATAATTAGGAGTATGAAGGCAAATATAGAGGCCATTGGAAAAGTAACAGAACAGTGGGAATGGAGGCACAGAAGCCTCAGACTGCTATAATTACAGAAATATTCACACAAAGCTCATCTCTCATCCATAATGACACAAAGTCTCCCAAAAAGTGGTGGACATTTCTCATAATGCTTTAGACACCCTTAAATGCTCCTGTTACACACTGGAATAATGCTACTGATCCCAGGTGCTTGCTAGTGTGCACTCTGCAAGGCAGGATGTGATGGCTCTTGTGGTTGGATTCCTACTAACCCTGTAGGAGGCCTGCACTGAGTTTCCAACTCCCAGTTTCAGCCAGGCCCAGCCTAGTTGAGGGCATTTTAGGAGTGATGCAGTGAATGGGAGACTCCCTTTATATCTCTCTTTCTGTCTCTGTGTGCATCTTTAAAACAAAAATAAAACCTGGAAAGGGAGTTAATAAAAGGTATGTTTTAGCAAAGGAAAAGAATAAAAGATTAATTTCATGTAGATATAAATCTAAATGTATTGATATCACATTGGCATAGGCAAAGACTTCATATTAAGACCCGGGAAGCACAGGCAATAAAGGTAAAAATAGACATGAGATTACATCAAGCTAGGAAGCTTCTGCAGAGTAAAGAAATATTCAACAAACTGACACCATGGGCGAAAATGTTTGCAAATGATACTTCTGATAAAGAATTACTATTTACGATATATAAAGAGCTCAAGAAGCTCAACAGCAACAAAACAAGCAATCCAGTTAAGAAATGAGAAAGGATACGACCAAGCATTTTTCAAAAGATGAATTACAGATGGTCCAAAGACACATGAAAAGATGCTCAGCATTGCTAGCTGTCAGTAAATTCAAATAAAAATCACAGTGAGATTTTACCTCCCCCCTGTTAGAATGGTTATCATCCAAAAATCAAAAAATAAAAAATGCTGTCAAGGACATGGGGAAAATAGTAGCCTAATACTTGGTGGGAAGGTAAACTAGTACAAGCATTGTGGAAGACAGTATGGCAATTTCTCAGAGATCTGAAAATGGATCTACCACAGGTCCCAGCCATTCTACTCCTGGAAATTTACCCAAAGGAATTGAAATCACTATGTGAAAGAGTTGTGTGTATCCCTCTGTCGATAGCACTCAGCTCACAGTGGAGTCAACCCAGATGTCTATCAACTGATGATTGGATGAAGAAATTATGGTGTATATATACATGATGGAATGGTACTCAGCCATAAAAAGATGCAGTTCTGTCTTTCACAAAAATGTAGATGCAACTGCAGACCATTATGCTTAGTGAAATAAACCAGGCCCCAAAAGACAAATATGTTTCCCCAAATTTGTGGTAACATACAGAGTACAAAAAAGTAATGAATATGAGTGAAATTGACATGTTGAGATTTGATTAGTGACCTTATTTGGGCATAGAGTCATTGGAGGATTAACCAGTTAATATGAATTCATATTAGAGTAGCAAGGACTTGTTCCCATAAGACTGGCATTTTTACAAGATGAGGAAACAGGTCCAAGATGGAAGGATGCCATGAAATGATGGGAGCAGATTCAGGTGCTTTGGTAGCCACCTAGGAGGCCCAGGATTTCCAGGAAACCAGCAGAAGCTAAGAAGGGACAGGAAAGATTAGTCCTGATGGGTTTCTGTGGGAGGGTGACTATGCATAAACCTAGATTTCTGACACCCAATCTCCAGACCTGTGGGAAAATAAAATATCATGTACTTCAAACTGACCACCAACCAGGCACTTGATTATGGCAGCCTGAGAAAATTATTAACCATCAACTATTTTGATTGGCATGTAGAGACATTTCAGCCATGAGAGAAACACATTCTTCTCAGGTTCATATGAAGAAGTCTCCAAGGCAGATCAAAGTATGAGCTCTGTCACACAACTGCTCACTTAAAGTAATGTATGTCACACAGCTTGTGCCACTAGGCAACTATGGTAATACAATAGAGTTCAATCAATGAAGATTACTTGGCAAATTTTGCAAGAACTATGGAAGCTAAATAACATACTGTCCAAAACAAATGGGTCAAAGAAGACTGTATAGACATTTTAAACTATTTTGAACCAAGCAAATAAAAACCCCAAATTTGGGTAGCAATGAAGCAGTGCTCAGAAGGAAAATGGAGCCCTTGAGTGAAATACTTTCAAAAATGATGATGATCTAAAATCAAGGGATTCTTACAACCTAGAAAAGTAGGTTGTAAGTAGAAAAGCAATCTGATGTACATTAGATAAAAAATGAAAAAATAGCAATTTTCTCAGAAATGGATGTAACAGGAAATAGGAAATGGACAGAGTAAAACAAAAAATCATGAATTAGTTTTTTGAAAAAATCCATAAGATTGTGAAGCCTCCGCCTGTCTAAGCACAAGGCAAAAAGAGAAGAAACAATGTCTGGTACTGCAAATGAGAAGGGAATCCTCACCACTGATGGCATGGACAGGAAAAGGAAAAGAAAAAAGTACTTTACATACTGTATGCCCACAAGTAGGTTCAACGAAGCCAGAAATTCCTTCGGAATCAGAAACTACCCAAACTAACCATGGGCCTGAGACTTTGAAGAGAACTTTACAGCTACAAAAGGCAAAAGAAGGTGTCAGGGCCATGTGGATTCATTGGTGAACTCCAGTCAGTTTTACCAAGAAAAATGTCATCCCCATCCAAGCAAGGGGCCATAGTCCTAGGTGTTTACCCAATTAATTTAAAAAACTTTGTCCCCACAGAACCCTGCCACATGACTGTTTCTGGTGGCTTTCTTCCTGATTGCTTAAATTGGAAACTAGGACCAAGAACATTGGCCCATCTATCCAAGGGGGTATAACTCAGTGATGAAAATCATTGAGCAATCAAGCCACAAAAAGGAGCAGGAGAGTTCTTATGTATGTTACCAAATCTAATTCCAACTCTAGGAAATTGTGAAAAAGAATGACTAAACAGATTTTTCTTTTGACAGGCAGAGTGGACAGTGAGTGAGAGAGACAGAGAGAAAGGTCTTCCTTTGCCATTGGTTCACCTTCCAATGGCTGCTGCCGGCTGGCGCACTGCACTGATCCGATGGCAGGAGCCAGGAGCCAGGTGCTTTTCCTGGTCTCCCATGGGGTGCAGGGCCCAAGCACCTGGGCCATCCTCCACTGCACTCCCTGGCCACAGCAGAGGGCTGGCCTGGAAGAGGGGCAACCGGGACAGAATCTGGCGCCCTGACCGGGACTAGAACCTGGTGTGCCGGCGCTGCTAGGCGGAGGATTAGCCTAGTGAGCCACGGCGCCGGCTGACTAAACAGATATTTAAAATGACCAGTTCTAGGGTCATGTTCTGGGGTCATTCAAGGGTTCTGGAAACATGGGTAAAGATGAATAACTCCTAGAACTGTACCACCAGAACCAACCTTAGTACAGACTTGGGAGTTGAGTCAATGATAACATTTCTTTATTGGTTCAGTCTCCATAACAAATGTACCCTACTAATGGAAGTGTCATCAGAAAAAGGGAAGTGGGAGTCCAGTATGAGAACCTTAGGAGCTATCTTTTCAGTTTTCATATTTTATCTCCAGTTGTTAATATTGGTGTGAGATCTGGTGGCACTCTCTCAGTAAGATGTCCATTTCAGCCCATGTTGGACAATTGGCCAAACATCTGAACAGTAGCTTGAGATGTTACTACTAACAGTGACCCCAAGTTTAAGCTGTTATCATGTCTTCCCTCTGCACTGGTCACCCTGCTGATTGAGTTGACCAATTCTAATTTTGCAGTCATGGAATGAAAGACACAGATAGCATAGATTTTTAAGAGTTTTGTCTTAACTATGAGACCCTGAATAAAGTAGAATCCTGATTGTTGAATGAGCTTAATGAATGAATTTGCACAGTACCTTCAACTGATTCCTTTGTTGGGGGTATCCTGTTCTTTGGCAAGACAAAGATTTTTCTGACCTTCAGTGCAGAATGGACAGTCGATGTTCTTGACCTCTGACTTCCTTTTCGTCTAAAACTCTTTAGACAAGATCCTGGAACAGTATGACAATAGACAGCTGTTGACATCCCACCAGCAGAAGAGCACAGGGAAGTGTGCAGTTCCTCACTTTCATCCCAGTTTTCCCATTCAATAGTGCAGAGCCATCCTCTAAATCAGAGTTGTATGCTAGGCAGATCTTGCAGTGTGGTGAACATTTCCTACCCAACAGTTTGATAGGGTAGACAAAGACTTTTCTTAAGATGAGAGTACAGGGACTAGTGCTTGAAGGTTCAGACCCTAAAGGGAAGCTGCATGTACCTGGGAAAGTTGCACAGAGTCCCCTGACCCCCATCACCTGTCCTGGTTCCCTGTTATGAGATGTGGAGATACTGATATGGCCTGTGTTGTGTTTGAGCTCAAGAGATTAAAAAGAAGTGGATCTTTATCAAGTCTGGTGCTGCATAATTTTTATTTGATGGGTAGAGTTACAGACAGAGAGAGAGAGAGAGAGAGAGAGAGAGACAGAGGTCTTCCTTCCATTGGCTTACTCCCCAAATGGCCGCAACGGCCAGAGCTACACTGATCTGAAGCCAGGAGCCAGGTGCCTCCTCCTGGTCTCCCATGGGGGTGCAGGGGCCAAGCACTTGGACCATCCTCCACTGCCTTCCCAGGCCACAGCAGAGAGCTGGACTGGAAGAGGAGCAGCTGGGACTAGAACCTGGCACCCATATGGGATGCTGGCTCTGCAGGCAGAGGATTAACCTAGTGCACCACGGCGCTGGCCCTGGTGCTGCATAATTGTCTGAAATTCTTCAGTCTTCAAATGCCAGGAAGAATAAGCTGATCACTGGTTGTGACTGAATGCAGGGAGGATACGTGACCACAGAGGAGGACAGGATGGAAATTGCTCTCCCTTCTTCCATGCATAGAAAGTTTTACAGCTCATGGAGAATCTCTCATTCCCATGCTCCCCACACAGCCCCAAGCTATGGGCAGATCTGTGTCTGCTCCATGTTGATTTACTATTAAGCAAATTGAAAATTAGAGACTCTCAGTGAGTTGTCCACATTCTTATAATTGACAAATCATGGATCTGGGATAGTCTCACCATTGGTTCCCTGGGGGACAGAGGTCCATGAATGTCTTTACTAGAACCCTGGACTAAGCACCCTCAGTGGCTTTCTGACATCTTCCAGGGCAGGATTTCCTCGGGAACAGTCTTGCTCAGGGCAAAGTTCTGGAGACAAGAGAAATCATGACTCAGATCGCTCCCTCCAGGTTTCTTTTCCTGGCTTAAAATAGGACTCTTTCCTCCAGGACACCCTCTCTGAGGGTCTGGAGAAACCCAAACTTACACCCATCCTGGCCCCGCATATTCACACTGTCACTGGCTCAGCCTTCCCCATGGCCAGGTGACCCCACAGGGCCAGTGGTGTGTTTGGTTTTAAAACTGGCTCAAAACTCAGGACATTCCACAGCAACTGCCATGTGAGGGTGAGCCAACATTGACTTCTCAGCCATGGCCAACGCTGCATGAACACTGAACAGAAATTCACCCAAAATGGGGCCATTCCATTGTTGTGGTGTTGGGGGATGGGGAATTTGGGAACAGATTGTTGAAGGGAGTTCCTGTGGTTCTCTCAGTACTGAATTGGTTAATACTGGGGAGAGTCATTAGAACACAAGCCCAACCCCTCTCCCTGTCTCTCTTCTGTCACTCTGCTTGCTCTTCTACTTTTCCACAATGATGGGACACAACATGGGACCCTTGATATGGGCACCTGATCTTTGACTCCTAGACTTGAGAATCCTGAGCTTGGGGGTCTTCTTCCTTTATAATTTACCCTGTCTCAGATGTATGTTTAAATGCCACAGAAAACTTAATATCTGTCCTTCAGAGAAAGTGGCTGAGCAGTCTCAAATCCCTGTATGACAAAAGGCTGGCTGTACTAGGTCTGTGTGCATCTTCATGCCCATGACTTTTCTCACCAAAACCCAGTCCCTAGGAACTCTTCACCTTTCTCTAGACCCTGCACGGACAGCATACACAGTTCTCTCTCCCATCGGTGAGGTTCATCCATCGCCAGGCTTGCCCCTTCCAACCCATGATGCTGCCTGAGGACCATCAGGCAGGCCCCCTTCTCTCAGTCTTCAGATGTCTGCCCCACTGACCAACGGCACTGTCCCTCCTCCCCGTTTCCCTGTAACCCCCAAACAGCAGGGTTCATGTGTTTATCCACCCCACCCTGAAATCCCAGTTTCTTTCCAATGTGACAAAAATATATCTGGGTTCAGACTGTTCTTACAGACTTGGTCTCAGATGGCGACCTCTACAGACAGAAGAGGCTGGCTTGAAAGTCCCTTTTTGTGTGATGTCTGTGTTGTGTTTGGTCTGAAATTTTCCTGGCTTGATGACAGTAGTGTGAGTTTCTTTCCTATCATCATTCTCTGGATAAGGTGTGAACAAACTTCGCATTGGAAATTATTTTTCTAAATTTAGGAAATATTTTGAAACAACAAACTTAACAGAAGCATCAAAAGTAGAAACTGAATAATACGATGACCAAATATCTTTATAAATCTGTAGACAGCCTGGAATGGGGAAATAACAGTCCATGAGGAGAGTGATTAAGCAGAAGGTAAGTGGCCGGTGGAGAAGCAGCATTGTGGAGGTCAGTGTGGCCTACCTGCTGGACAGCAGTTGAGATTTCCCATCGTGGACCACTCTGGATAGGACGATACGCATGTTCCCACCGCACTCAAGTTTGAACCTTTCAGCTCAAGAGAGTGACAGTTGGAATGGCAGGATGATGTCACTCACCTTGTTACCCTGGCGACAGGACACCATGGAATTTTCAAAGTGAGCCATGCCACACTGTAAGTGATGCTGTACTGCTGTCTACTCACACATTTTTCAGTGTCCAAGCGTGGTCATTTTAGAGTCCAAGTTTTGTTTCCAAAACTGACTCCAAGACCCACACATTATCATCCCCTCCTTGTGAAGTAAGAAGAGTGACTTAAAAGGATCTATTTCCAATATAGTTGATGGTAACAGTTTGAATGAGAGGCATGACCTAGCACTGTACAATCATGTCATCTGCAAACATGGATATTTGGTTTCCTCTTCTGTGACATTTGAAGCTCATTCTTTAATTCTTTTAGCGTTTTGGAATAATTTGCAAAGTATTGGAGTTGGTTCCTGTCTAAATAAATGTTCTGTAGAATTCAGTTGTGAAGACATCAGGTCCTGGACCTTTCTTTGGCAGGAGACTTTAGGTACTGCTTCAATCGCATTGTTATGGTTTTCTATATCTTCTTGAAGTAATATTGGCAGATAGCATGCACCCAGAAATTCATCTATCTCTTCAAGGTTTTCTAAGTTGATAGCACAAAGTCATTCACAGGAGTTACTTGTAATTCTTTATGTTTCTGTGGTATCATTTTTCATATCTAATTTTATTTATTTTAGGTTTTTTCTCATTTTCTTTGTTAGTTGGCTAAAGATTTACCTGTTTTGCTTATTTTTCAAAAACCATCTTTTCCTATTTTTGATTTTAAGAGTTGTTAGTTTTGTTTGAGTTTCATTTGCTCTTCTCTGATTCTCTTGATTTCTCACCTCCTATTAATTTTGGGTATGGTTTGTTCTTGCTTTTCCAAGTCTTTAACATGAATATTAGATAATTTATTTCCATTTTATAAGGTAAGCTTATTTTTTTTTAAACTTTTATTTAGTAGATATAAATTTCCAAAGTACAGTTTATGGATTACAATGGCTTTTTCCCCCCCATAACTTCCCACACACCCACAACCCTCCCATCTCTCGCTTCCTCTCCCATTCAATTCACAACAAGATTCATTTTTGATTATCTTTATATACAGAAGATCAATTTAGTATATATTAAGTAAAGCTTTCATCAGTTTGCCCCCACACAGAACACAAATTGCCAATATTGTTTGAGCACTAGTCATATCATTAATTCACATTGAACTACACATTAAGGACAGAGATTCTACATGGGGAATAAGTGCACAGTGACTTCCGTTGTTGACTTAACAAATTGAAACTCTTGTTTAAGGTGTCAGCAATCGCCCGAGGCTCTAGTCATGAGTTGCAAAGGCCATGGAAGCCCCCTGAGCTCACCAACTTTGCCCTTATTTCGACAAGGCCATAGTCAAAGTGGAAGTTTTCTCCTCCCTTCAGAGAAGGCCCTTCTTTGGTGGCCTATTCTTTCCACTGGGATCTCACTCGCAGAGATCTTTCATTTAGTTTTTTTTTTGCCAGAGTGTCTTGGCTTTCCATGCCTAAACTACTCTCAAGAGCTCTTCAGCCAGATAAGGGCTGATTCTGAGGCCAGAATGCTGTTTAGGACAACTGCCATTCTATGAGTCTGTTGTGTATCCCACTTCCCATGTTGGATCATTCTCTCCCTTTTTTATTCTATCAGTTAGTATTAGCAGATGCTAGTCTTAGTTACGTGGGCCCTTTGACTCTTAGACCTATCAGCAATCAATTGTGAACTGAAATAGATCACTTGGACGAGTGAGGTGGCATTGGTACATGCCACCTTGATGGGATTGTATTGGAATCCCCTGGCACATTTCTAACTCCACCACTTGGGGCAAGTCAGCTTAAACATGTCCCAAATTGTACATCCCCTCCCTCTCTTATTCCCACTCTTATAATTAACAGAGATAACTTTTCAGTTAACTTTAAACACCAAAGAATAATCGTGTGTTAATTACATAGCTCAACCAATGGTATTAAGTATAACAAACAAAAATACTAAAAGGGATATAGTATTAAATTGTACATCAAAAGTGATGATAAGGGCTGATCAAGTCACTGCTTCTCATAGTGTCCATTTCACTTCATCAGGTTTCCTTTTTGATGCTCAGTTAGTTGTCACCGATCAGGGAGAACATACGACATTTGTCCATTTGGGACTGGCTTATTTCACTCAGCATGATGTTTTCCAGGTGTCTCCATTTTGTTGCAAATGACCGGATTTCATTGTTTTTTTACTGCTGTATAGTATTCTATAGAGTACATGTCCCATAATTTCTTTATCAAGTCTTCTGTTGATGGGCGTTTAAGTTGATTCCATGTTTTAACTATTGTGAATTGAGCTGCAATAAACATTAAGGTGCAGAGCGCTTTTTTGTTTGCCAATTTCATTTCCTTTGGGTAAATTCCAAGGAGTGGGATGGCTGGGTTGAATGGTAGGGTTATATTCAGGCTTCTGAGGACTCTCCAAACTGACTTCCATAGTGGCTTTACCAGTTTGCATTCCCACCAACAGTGGGTTAGTGTCCCTTTTTCCCTACATCCTCGCCAGCTTCTGTTGTTGGTAGATTTCTGAATGTGAGCCATTGCAACTGGGGTGAATTGAAACCTCATTGTGGTTTTGATTTGCATTTCCCTGATTGCTAGTGATCCTGAACATTTTTT